TTATATAGACATGTCCACTCGAAAAAGATAGTGTCGAAAAGTTCACTACTTAAATAGACAGGTCCTCTCGTAAAAGATTGTGACGAAAAGATCACTAAATAAATAGACAGGTCCACTCATAAAAGATAGTGTTGAAAAGTTAACTACTTAAATAGACAGGTGCTCTCGTAGAAGATGGTGTAGAAAAGGTCTCTACTTAAATAGACAGGCTAGCAGGTCAAAATATAGGTCAGAAAAGGTCACTATTGAAAAAGATAGTTCCTGTCGTAAAAAATAGGACCGAAATGGCACTATTTGGAAAGAAGACCTCGTGTAAAAATAGAACCGAAAAGGAAGCTATTTAACTAGACAGGTCTTCTCGTAAAAATCGGCCGAAAAGGCACCATTTAAATAGGTAGTCTTCACGTTAAAAAATCGTGCCGTAAAGTGCATTTGAAGGCGTGTACGCCCTCAAGTGGTCTGTAACGACGGAGTTGAGGGTCATCCAATAAGAATCCTTCCAGAAGTATACTGAAGCTTGACAGAGAAGGATCGAAAAAGTGTATTAGACTTGAGGGGGTATTCCTTTGAAGAGGAAACCATGTAATTTGTTGTTTGGAATGAAATAAATTGTTTGTGACACTAGTCCCATTACTTTTCAGACAGACCATGTATATTCTTTTTCTTTTTATGTGCCGTGTCCTTTCAGGACGTAGACGATCATGGCCCTCCACTTCCCCCTATCCCTTGTGGCTCTCGACAGGTTTTGTGTTTCGGCCAACACCCCCAGACCACGCCCCTCCATCCACCTGCCCAAGCCCACCACGTATGTCATACGCTGCTTTCCCCTGTCTGTTTTTCCCTCTATTCGTCCCGTGAGTATCAGATTCTCCAGGCCCTCCTTTCTCATCACGTGTCCCAGAAATTTCATCTGCCTCTTCCTGATGTTAAGCATAAGCTTCCCCCTTGTTTGCATCCTCTCTAAGACCTCATCGTTGCTCACACGCTCGGTCCATGATATCCTTAGCATTCTTCTGTAGAACCACATCTCCGCCGTCTTGAGTCTCTTCTTCATCCTTGAGGAGACCGTCCGACATTTGCTGTTGTATAGGAGGACAGGTGTTATGTAGCAGCTCAGTACTCTTTTCTTTGTCACCATAGAAATCCTCCTACTCTGCCTAGCTTCTGGAATGAATCCTTGGCCATCCCAATCCGTCTTCGGATCTTAGTGTCGCACCCACCGTCCTCCGTCAAAACACGTCCCAGATACTTAAACTTCCGCACATGTTTCATTTTAGTGTCCCCGACCTGCAAATCGCTTTTTTTTACTGATATAAATTGATGTAATGAATATGCATACACCTGGGTTCCCCCTCACAGTAATATGATTGGCTGGTGTCAGCCATAACTACAGACTGATGTGGAGGTACAGGAGGACGCCTATTGTGTTCGCCTTTTGCCTACCACTACGACGAGGACCAGTTCATTACGGTTACCTGCTAAATTGTCCTACCCGGTTACAGTAGTCAACAACCACTTTGCTACTTCGAACAAATATATCCCTTTCCGGACATATCATAAATACAATAATATCTTTCATATTTTTTAAGTTTAGCTCATTGCAACCTTTCTATAAAATCTATCTCTACACAACATCTCCTCTCTTTTATTCATCATTATCGGTTCAGGGGTCTTTTTTAACATGGTTCTAGTGTTCTGATGATCATAGACACTACCGTCATACATTCACTAATATAAACAGTATCCGAGTAAGATTCTAATTTTAATTTTAATTTTTTAAGGCCCTTGATCGGGTAACATCGAAAAGTTAGTGTTTCTCTTTGATTAGATTGTGGAAACGATCGCTAAAGAGAGAGAAGTCGGCCATCTTTATAACCAGCCATTTTCCTTCGACTCTCGAGACGAATGGGAAACTTACCGGATTTATAGGAGTAATTGACGTGACCATGTATCATTACGGAGAGTAAAATGTAAGATCTTTCTGCTTGAGTGAAATCTCATCCGATTCCTGCCCCATCAACAACTCTCTGGTTTCAAAGTGTCCCCCCCCCAAACACACACACACAAGAATAAACAAGGACAACCTCCGAATACAGACGCTTCCATAAAAGTAACCATACATAACAAAGTCGACTTAAAAAAATCTACATTCAGTGACATGATATATATATATATATATATATATATATATATATATATATATAGCCAAGTATAGGATTTATGTATACGGAATAAATTCCAATAGCCAACAATTACTATTCTTAAAAGAGGGCTCAATACATAGTAAAGCAGATATAATTATTTATTTAAAATTATGACATACATATGTTATAAAATAAATAGTTATTTTAAACACCTCCAGTAATCAATGATGATTTGATGTAGAATAAATGTATTTTCCTTCTCTAGAAGAAAAAAACATTTATTTTACATTCAACATCATTTTTTAATAAGACACTGGAGGTGTTGAAACAAAATGGCTATTTTTGTAGTGATTTTATAACATATTTATGTTATAATTTTTAAAAATAATTATATATATATATATATATATATATATATATATATATATATATATATATATTACAATCAATCATAATGTTAATGATATAAAATGGCGAAAGCCGTTCGCTAACAAAACTGCATGATGCATTAACCTACTAATCACTCGATGAATCTTATGATCCTTGGTTTTTAAAATTATAAGCTGTATAAGGTCTTTCTTAAATACGCAAGTACTTTCGACTGTACATTCAGTCATCTTCAAGCATGTTTACCACAAACAAAATAATTTCCATGCCTTTTTATAGAATTTTATTATTATTAACCAGAACCATTTAAATAATAAATTCTGGACTGTTGATTAATTGCTTTATCTTAATTATTTAAGTAATTGTATATTGACTTTATTGCCACCCTGTATACAATTAAATTTTATTGTAGACAGTGGTGGACTCTCCCGTCGTCACGACGTATGAGGGTCAAGCAGCTCAGTTCCTAGGAATCGACAGCCCAGACACCAGCACATATGATTTGATTATAGTGGTGAAGGCTTTGTGCAGAACCAACCACACTTTTTGAAGGGCCGAATACAGAGTCACAAGGTCCCCAAACGACCCTCCGCAGTTTTTGAATTCAGAGTTGTCCTTCTCCTTGACCAGTTGCCATCTATAGAACCCAGTCTGTCCTGCTATTTACCCATAGCTGGAGGGAGAAGAAGAGGATTAGTATCTTTCCCAAGTGAATGTAATGGATTCGACTGGAATTCGAACCCGGCTCTCCGATTCCCCAATCCGACCCGCTACCCACTGTATACAATAATACAATACAAAAGTACTAAAAATTTTATCAACACAGATACACAAACTGCTTTCCATCACAATTTATATAGCTTTGACGTCTACCTTCCACGCTTCGATAAAACATTTCTGCACAAACATCTTTGTGTATTAATTTCTTGAAATTCTTCTCTGATTTTTCGTTGTTTTCGACTATAAACTTTCTTTTGAGTACTCCCCAAAAGAAAAAAAAAGATTAAATTTAAATAAATTTATTGATATAATTACATATATATCGGGTTACTTCCTCCTAATTTTCGAAACCGCTACCAGGGGACGCTTTCCGCACTATAAATACTCGGCGATATCTTTTCTCGCCTTCTTCTGTCTTTTTTCGTTTACACGTCAACATGTTAGTCTCTCGCGGAAGAACGCTTTTCCTTTTGGAAACGCATGAACAGTACACACACACACACGTACGTACGAACCTTTCACTTCATTTTTTCTAGGACTTTCTACACCAACCTACACACACGACCTACACTTCTCCCCCCTCCCAGCTATGGGAGGGTGGGGGAGAAGAAGAGAATTAAAGGTATTTAGCACGCAAGTTAATGTAATGGACTCGATTGGAAATCCTACTGGAATTCGAACTCGGCTCTCCGATTCCTCAATCCGAGCCGCTATCCATTCTTCCATCGTGCCTCCAATTTTAAGAATTAGTCGTTTTTAATTTTTTTGATAAATCTATGTCATTTCTTTTTAGTTTGCTTTCTGCCTTCTGTAGTGTCCATTTAGTTGATTAGTTGAGTGGTTCATTTTTTACGGCTTATCAACCCTTTTCAGGTTATTTAAAGACAGAATATATTTTTAGATTGTAAGAATTTTTTTGAGATAATTATAGTTTAGTGATACAAGTCTTATTAATTAATCCATAGCGGTGGGGAGAAGAGGCAAATTTATACTTAATCAGAATTTGATATACAAACAAGAAATTGTAATGTGGATATAAAATGAGGGATCAATTTCATATTCACATCAATATATTAACTGATCCCTCACTTTGTGGCCATTGGTTTCTATACATTTCTATTCCAGAGAAGGTAAATAAATCTAAAAGGTATTCTTGTGTAGCTAATCAGTATTTCCTTGATTGATTCATTTTCTACGGCTTATCAACCCTTTGCAGGTTATTTAAAGCCAGAAAATATTTTTAGATTGTAAGAATTTTTTTTCTTAGAGATAATAATGGTTTAGTGACATCTGTCTTACTGCTTAGCCCAGGGAGAGGTGGATTTATGCCTTTCCTAATGACGCATGCGCCTAAGTGAATATAACGAACCCAACTTGAATTAGAACCCAGTTCAATGATTAACAATTGCAAGCCGTTATCTATTCCATCACCTGGTATTCAAAAGCGGTCACCAATCGGGGTATTGACAAGGCTTGTCGTTGCTTTGTTTCAATTTGGTTATTAATAAGAGTTTCTGGCTTTTTGTAAAAATGGATATTTCGTTATGATGGATCAACTGACGATTTTTTCTTCCACAAGGTGAGTGAAAAGTAACCCCCCCCTATTTCATGTATAATGGACTCTCCCGTCCTGGGAAAATTATTGTTAGACGGAAGAGTCCATTATACATAAAATAGGGGGTTACTTTTCAATCAACCTTGATATCATCGGTAATAAAATAAACAACAGGAACAACAACAATAATAATAATGATAATCTCTTTTCATTCTTTCTTTCTTTCTTTCTTTCTTTCTTTCTTTCTTTCTTTCTATCTATCTATCTATCTATCTCAGTCTGTTCATATCTATCTATCTATCTATCTGTCTATCTATCTATCTGTCTAATTCTGGTATATATTTAATTCTGGTCTCTCTCTCTCTCTCTCTCTATCTATCTATCTATCTATCTATCTAATTCTGGTATCTATTTAATACTGGTATCTATCTATCTATCTATCTATCTATCTATCTATCTATCTAAGTCTGTTCATATCTATCTATCTAATTCTGGTATATATTTAATTCTGGTCTCTCTCTCTCTCTCTCTCTCTCTCTCTCTCTATCTATCTATCTATCTAATTCTGGTATCTATTTAATACTGGTATCTATCTATCTATCTATCTATCTATCTATCTATCTATCTATCTATCTATCTATCATTTCTTATGTATCTATTCAACCCATTTTCTGTTTATCTATACAAATTGACAGTATATAAACCAGGCCCCGTGTAAGTCAATAGAAACATTAAAGGAAATTTCGTTTTTACCCAAAATTCCGAAGCCATTCATAACGCTTCATTGAAAATACTTGAGCAATAAGTAACAAGATTCAGGGCATAGCTTCATGGTTATAGCAATGGAGCAGATGTAAAACGAGTTATGGTTGAGGTGAAAATATAATCAATGTATCCTGTACCCTTGTATATCGTCGGGACACCATGAAGGGTAATTACTTCATGGCATTTCTCGGGAATCTTGTGAAATAAATAAATAAAGTAAAAGAAACGGTTACTGAAGATGAAGCTCTTATATTCGCCTCAATCGAAACAAATTCGCGATGTGATACTATGAATAAATTTGCTAATACGCAGTTTTGTTGACACCCGAACAATTCTCAATATAATCAAACAATTGCGTTTAAGTATGAGGTAGACTGTCGCCGCTGGGTGTTGACTTCAGTGTTCATTTTTATATTTAAATACGCCCTATCCAAGAAGTTGAGCACTTTTTCTCATAAATATAGCAATCTTTAAAACTATATTTTTATCAGCGTACGTAAATGTAAACACTGGGACAAGTAATGCATATAGAAACAAATAAATTTATCTGTATTTCAGAGATGAGGTATTGTAACTATTTACGCTACTTACAGTGTTCGGACTTTTATCCTCATCATTATTGCTACATTCACGACGTTTCAATCGTTGTGCGCTCCGGTCATCTTCAGGATCTGTTTATATTTCAGAGATGAGGTATTGTAACTATTTACACTACTTACAGTGTTCGGACTTTTATCCTCATCATTATTGCTACATTCACGACGTTTCAATCGTTGTGCGCTCCGGTCATCTTCAGGATCTGTTTATATTTCAGAGATGAGGTATTGTAACTATCTACACTACTTACATTGTTCGGACTTTTGTCCTCATCATTATTGCTATAATCACAACGTTCCGGCCGTTCTGCACTTCGACCTTCTTCGGGTGATATACGTTGAATTTTTGAAGTGAACCTTTTTTTTCGTCCATCGGTATTGTTCTAGTCCCACGTGCTATGCCCTTCTTCAGGATCTGTCTTGTATTTCTGAGATGAATTATTTTAACTATTTACACTATTTACATTATTCGGAGTGTTGTTCTCATCTTTATTGTCATATTTGCGACGTTTCGGTCATTATACGCTCCGGCCTTCTTCAGTATCTGCCTATATTTCTGAGATGAGGTATTGTATGTATTTCCACTATTTACATTGTTCAGACTATTGTCCTCATCTTTATTGCCATATTCACAACGTTTCGGCCGTTGAACACTCCGACCTTCTTCAGGTGATACACGTTGGATTTATGAAGTGATCCCTTTTTTTCGTTCACCGGTATTGTTCTAGTTCCACGTGCCATGCCTCTTTTGGGATATCTCAGCTTCAGTTACTTCCATTTAGTAACTTAACTCTCTAAGATTTGTTCACCTCTGCTATTGCCAAGAATTGAACTCACAACTCTTTGAGTCAAGTCTCTGGCGACCAACGCTTTTATCCACTGGGCCATGTGTCGTTCGGTTGCGTTACTCAAAGGAAGTTAAATTAATAATAATCGTCAACAACATATAATTAATGAATAAATACAAATTACACTAATTAATGAATAACAAGGGATAAATGAAAAGTTAATAAACGCACACACACACACACACACATATATATATATATATATATATATATATATATATATATATATATATATATATATATATATATATATATATATATATATCCTTACTCTGTCCTGGACATTGAGTTCTACCTGGATTCTTCCTCTTGGAATTTTTATTCAAAAAATATACATGTATGGGTATTTATATATTTTGCATATGTATGTATATTTACCACTAATATTATCTCTCTCTCTCTCTCTTTCTCTCTCTCTCTCTCTCTATCTATCTATCTATCTATCTATCTATCTATATATATATATATATAATAGCTGGCCACTCGTATTCGAGGTTACCCATATACTAGGGCGGCTAGCCAATCCCTATTGCAGACTCTCGCTCAGGCACATTTGTGTTTTTCAACACACACGGAGCCAACCTGTAGTTTATACTACAACTATGCTGAGCAGACCTTAGTTACAGTTTCTGGGAGAGAGCTTGTTATCTAGAATGATCAACAATATGAGCAACACCCCTACGCTCATACCCTCGGTCACGATGACTTGTGACTTCGTCTTAGCACAGCTATCGATGGGCCCAAGTGTTCCGTCTACCCAGTTTCACTCACAAGGCTTGGGTCAACTATGTTTTTCCGTATGGTTTTCAGGCACTTTCCAACTGTGCCGCACACTGGGATCGCCCCCCCCGTTAACATCAGGAAGTCTTCTTCCTGACAAATCGACAATGGTGATCTTTGAATCCGGGTCTCATGGTCAGAAAGCGATCGTTCTAACCACTTGGCCACCCATAGACGGTACTCTTGGGGACCGTCGAAAACAAGGTCGATTTTACTGTTTTTAAACACAATTCTCCATGATTTTCTCTTATTCATTCATATCTGCTCAATGCGTATCCGAATGTAAACAAATGACGTCATACATCATGAAATAGAAGTCCGACAATTGTTTTAAAACCTTGCTAACCGAACGCTCCTCTGTGGCCCAATCGGTTAAGGCACGTCAGGCTATATGACGGTTCCGTATAGGATACAGGTTCGATTCCTGTCGGAGGACGCATATCGTCTATGAAGATTTATCGGACATTCAGGCCGGTAAATGTTGTTAATACTGTTTATTATAAACAGAGCATTTACTTAAATATTTGTATCTAAAAAAGAACGTATAAACATAAAAAAATGTCTTAAAATAATTGTCGAACTTTGTCCATTTCATAATGTACAAGAGTTCTTCTAACACAAAAATATGAGTTCCAATCGGTTAGCAATAAAAACACGTCGTGCGCCTGGCGAGACTAGAATCGTCCTGAGTAAGCTTTAACCAACTCTGGACCAACTCCAACGGGATTCTAGATTACTTTGAGTTCTTTATTTAAGACGTCTTGCCTTGTTCATTTTGTGTTACCGGGATGTCTTATTTACTTCACAACTCTTCAACAACGACCTTCCCGATGTCATCAGTCCCTACCTCGGTGTTTATGCTGATGATAAAAATATTTACTCCTGTCTTCATAGTAAGTCCAGTTGAACTGAACAAAAATTAGCTACTCTCGAAGATGACATTCAGTCAGTTGTTGACTTGGGCAAGAAATGGTTTGTAAATTTTAACGCCCCCAAAAGGAAACTACTAAGATAAAAAAATTTTATATATATATATATATATATATATATATATATATATATATATATATATATACTTTTTTATTTTTGCCCTTCTGGCTGCATGATGTTCGTATATTAAGGTACGTCAAGATCTATGATTCATAAGGAGGTACTTTTTTGTTTGTGGTCTTTAATAATTTATTATTATTATTATTATTATTATTATTATTCCATTTCTTCTTCCGCATCTTACCATTTTTATTATTATTATTATTATTATTATTATTATTATTATTATTATCGTTTCCTTTGATTTCTGTTGTATACACATTCCCTTCCGGATCCCAACCAGAGACCGAAGGTCCGAAATGGTTTCATGACATTTTCACTGAACGTTTTTTAACCTAAGAGCTCACGCATTTTACATTGATAAAGCCCTCCGTAAGATGTGAGCTGTACTTTTACAATTTGGGGCATTTTTTTAAGGCATGGGCTGCCAGAAATCCCTTCAATGAATTCATCAGAATTTTTTTACCAATCAAACCGTTGTTTGCAATCACGACTGGAATTATTAAAGTCTTCATGTGACACTTTTTTTTCGACTTTCACTTCAAGGTTCTTGTATTTTCATTGATTTTTGGCGATGTTCAGAAATGCATAACATTCAGCAGGAATTGCAGAATGTCAATAAGAAGGCACATTATGTCATTGGGGTATTTGATCATGATGTCTGGGAGATTAGCTTTGATTGTTCTATCTGTGTGTATTGTAAAGTAACATAAAATTGTTACAGACCCTATCTCCGTAATCGGGTCTGCGTGGTGTTCATATCAATTTCTTGCATTTTCCTTTCCTTAAAAGTTTTAGATTTTCCAATGTAGATATTGGCCCACTCTGTTATTCCGTGTTTTATATTCAGTGGGTGACAATACCGTGCAAACTGATACAAGATAGTCAATTGTTACTGGATATTTATCACAGAATCTGAATTTTAGACTAACATAATTTTTCAGTATATATGTTTAGTAATTTATAGTTAGCAAGCATTAGTTCTGTGCAGCAAGAATAAAACCTTCAGTTTCAGCTTTTAACCCTGCACTACGCAACCACTGATGGCTACGGGGTTTGTTTACATCGGCTTTTTTCGTACGGGCAGAATATTGGCCATGAAGCGGTTTATCTTGCCATCATTTCTGTATCTGGTCGGTTGCATTTGTCTTTGCT